TTTTTTTGAGTGACTTCAAGAACGAGGGGAGTACTGTACGGTGCGCTCGCTCTGGTTTTCAACCAAATGTAAATACTTTTGCATTAATCTAGACTATTATAATTGCTCTGAACAGGGTAAATGGTAGTCGTTTATTTGATACTTATAGTCATGGACACTCTCAAACAAGTGCTTCGATTAGATACAGATGAAGTAAAATTTTGTACGCTCGGAAAGCCAGGTGATTCCTGCACTGTTGCAGGCTGATTAGACTTTTTCGTGTTTTTTTTGTGTCAGATTTCGTGTTTCTGTCCTGGACGGTTTAGAAACTATTGTTACAAAGTGGTCTTTTGGAGGTTACTGCTGTAAATTTGTTAATTTTTTATCTTTCATTTTTTAGACACTTAGTAATTGCAAAGGGAAGAAGATGTGCTGCGAAATATCCTTCATTCGTTATATCCAGCACCGGTTAAGACAGCTCAAATTGCAAAAAGTAGGTTACTGCTATCCTTAACCTGTTTGAATCGTTTAGTCTTCCATTTTTGTTAGAAACTTTTTTCTGGTACAGCTGATCGGTGTGAGGAAAATATTTGATTTGCGAATTGTATTGATTAATTCTTCTGCATGAGGTATCAATTTTCATCATATTCTGGTTTTGTTTTTGTTCTCTGTTACTATTCGTTAATTCAGACTAAGAATGGCAAAATTTCTGTAGGAGAAGTTGTTGGTGTTATCAATTCTTTTCTGAAGAGTGCGGAAGACGTAATTGCAACTGATTGGGCATTTGATATTATTAAGAATGCGTCGTCAAAATAACTAAAAAATTGTACAAAAGTTGTCATTTTAGATCCTTTACTCTGTTCAATGTGTCTTATTTGTTGTCATTCTTTGCTTTTTTCTATGCTGTATCGTGAACTTGGTGTAACTACTACTTGCTAGCGTACAGTTTTTTTTCAGTTGCATCTTTTAGCAGGAGAGAACGAGTTAAAGTTAAAAATGAACTTGGGCGTCTCCAGCGCTGTGATCGATGCTGAAAACGAAAGTGGTTTTTGGGACAATGACGATACTGTCAAGATTAAATTTTCCTTGTTCAGAAGCTCTTTTAAGGTTTTTATTTTTATGGTATTTAAGCATTATTTTTGCAGTAATTGTTCTTACTAGCACTGGCTTCACACAAATTTTTTGTAAATTAGAAGTGTGGTTTTGTGTGATGTACGTGACTTATAGTTAGATCTTGGGTTCTGTACCTCTTTTAATCACGACACTGTTAATTTCACCGGGTGAAATATTAAAAAGCCAGTTTTATTTCTGAAGGATGTCACTTGTTCACTACAACTTCACAACTTCTTTTGCTTTTTGCTGGATAAGCAAAGCATACTTTTTTGTATATGTATGGCCAGTTAACAATCCAGACTTTTCAGATTTTTGTTTTGGAGACGGTTTAACTTTTTTTATAACACATTGTGCTGTAAAGTTGCAGTTTAAATTTTTGGTGGCGCATAAGGTTGATCTTGGTGTAAATAATTATATAGTTACATACGAAGAAGCTTTCTGGAAGGTTAAACAAACTGGTTTACGTAATTCACATCTCTGTATACAAGGGTTACGTTCTTAGCGTACCTCAGCGAGACTCTTTAGGCAACTATGGTTTTAATGGGGTTTCCAAATCTAGAAGCGGAGATAGGTTTTTAAGTAGATTTTTCTAGAGGTTTTTTTGAACCGAGTGACCGATTTATCGTGAAAATTACGATAAGCAGTTCCAAAACGGAAAGAGATTTTGATTCAAATTTTAGTGGTTGGCTCTGTTCTGCATTTTCATCTCTACAGTGAATAAGTAAAAATTTTTCAGTCATTGGCATCATTTGCTTATTTAAATAGATGAATCCGGTTGACATTCAAACGAAACAAACAACTACACTTTTTAGTAGGTTACTTAATAAATATAATGGTTTTTGTGTGTTTAATGAAGAACCGCTATGTGTAAGTTTGTTTTCAACATTTAAAGTTTTTATTTAGTTCAGTAATCAAGAAATAGTTTTTTGTTAAAAAATGTTTATCTGTAGACAACTTTCAAATAATGAGAAGTTGAGTAAGTGAAGTGAAAAAAATTATTTTTATTCACACTCGTTTACTGATAGCTTAGTTAATGAAAAGAATCAAGGAAGATTGAGTTTTGTAGGATAAAAGTACAAAAAAGATTTTGTTTAGTCAAAGTTTTAGAGTTGATTTACAGGCGAAAATGCATTAGAGAATGTCTGGTAGAAAATTTTTTGGGTTTTTGAGAACCCTAAGTATTTTTTCTGAAAACAACGTTTCTCGGATAGTGCTGCTTGATATTCAGTAGTTCTAATGGAGGGAGATTTTGCTGGAGAATAATTTCGACAGATATACATGAAGAATGAGAGAGGGAAAAAGCTGTAAAAACATTTCTTAAGGGTAATTGAATCGGAGGAATTATTTGTGGGGTTGAGGACGGTCAAAAAATCAGGAATTTGAGTAGCCAATGAACAGCTTAGAAAGCTATCACTTTTTTGTCAAGTTTCGATGTCACTTGAATGTTGAGGACACACTGATTAGTATCGAAGCTTGGAGATAGAGCAACAACTAAAATTTTATTTTATTTTTTTTTTTTTTTTGCTCTATTATTGGCATTAAATAATAAAATTAGACTGATGTGCTGAGCGAACTCTGAAAATCAAATTATATTCATTATTTTGTCGGCCAAAAAAATGCTTCATATTTGGAGGATAAGGAGAAGTGTGACAAGAAGGAAAAGATTAATTGTACGCATTTATTTAGAAAGTAGAAAAGTGTCACTTTTTGAAGAAGTTAATGTATTTTTTTTCTGTGTGTAATTTGCTAAAATGTTTTTATTTTCTTTTTTTTTTGCCTCGGTCTTTCCTACAATCGCGGCGTTAAACGAAAGAGAGCACTTTTAGTTGGTAATTACTCAGTGTCCAGTCACATCACTCCTAAGAACTCTATGACCTTTTTACTTAAAACATTTGCAGGTACAATAAAGCAGCCAAACGCCTACAACAATTAATACTGCAAAAACCCTTCAGTGCTACTGAACGACTAATCAAATTCACTGAACACGAAGTTGTTTTTGGTCACATAGACAACTTAGATTTAGCATCA